GAATTGTACTAGATTGGGACCACACTTTCTTAATCTTATGTTTCACAGATATATTCCAGCTTTGCCACACTGCTGTGGAGTTGTGTATAACATTTTTTATTGTAAAAGAGGGTCTAAATTACTTGCGGGAGAAGTAATAAAATTTAAAATATTTTTAAGGTTTAATTTATTTCTTAGACCGACTGCTTTTCATTAGGGTGGTTGGCCCGTGAAATGAAAAATAAAAAATGTGAGGCCTTAAGTTGTAGACAGCATTAGACTAATGCACATTAAATGACATTATCACTGAACAAAATAGCACTGTGGGCATGATCTATTTAAGCTCAGTGATGATGCGATAATGAAGTTTGACCCGTGAAGAGTCCGGGGTAGAAAAGGTCTTCAGCAACCAATACTTGCCGTAAAAGGCGACTATGCTTGTTGTAAAAGGCGACTAACGGGATTGGGTGGTCAGGCTAGCTGACGTGGTTGATGCATGTCATCGATCCCAGTTGCATAGATCGATGTTCATGATGTCAATCACTGGATTGTCTGGTCCAAACTCGATTATTTTACAGACCGCTGTCATATAGCTGGAATATTGCTGAGTGTGGCGTTAAACAACAAACAACTGACAAAGCGTGAACTTATGTCAGGTCTTCAAATATGTGTTGAGCGGACACTTGGTAGGTTGGTTAGTTAGTCTGAGTCGGTTGGTTGTATATTTTGCTAACCCTAAAGTTGCCCATGGACTTTGCAAACTGGATCTCACTGATCTGTATTCCCATTGCATGTTGAACTTTGCCTTGTTTAATGTACACTGAATTGCATGACCTGGATTTGTCTACTCAAAAGTATGTGAGGGGTGGTAAGATCAAGGATATCAACCAGTCACTTACTTTTGTTCAAGCTGTGTTTCTGTTTGCAAAAATAAACGCTTTGTGATGCTGTCCAAAGTTGGACATTGTGGATATAATGTTTAACTGCAGAATGCATGTAAGAATGGGAGAAGAAATTGATGTGCTCTTAATGGGTCTGACTTTAAGAAGCCTCTAGAATGGGAAGCAGAGGGTCACTATGTCTGCAAAGTTTGATTGGAAAATGCATGAATGATGAAGGCAAAGAGAAGGCTTTATAATACTGAGGAGACTGACATTGTAGTGTTGGGAATCACTTTACAAATGTGGATCAGTCATCACTGTTCGTAAAATAACTAATGGTCTAGCATCATTTGAAATGTTCTTGCCATTGTAACACCACTTATTATGGGTATAAAATATGGATATCAACACCATTTTAGAAGAGATGCTTAGTAGATGCACATCACTGACTCTATCACATGTACTTGCTAGTCTCATGAAGGGTAGGCACCATGAGTGTTCCAACTTCTTGTCAAACCCTGAAGATCAGTCATAAGAAATCCTGGTTGAATAGTAGATGTGGGAGGTCTACCGACCAGACACAGATTTAATCCATTAATGGAAGCACCACTAATGCCTTCTGTTAGCTATTAATTGTGATAATGTTCCTGATTACCGTTCATTTATTTGCCAGGTGTGGAGTCTGGGCAGTTACTAGATGTGCCTGCTTGTCAATAGAACAAATTTAATGTGGATGGTAGCTTAGTGGATAGAGTCTATACCATATATCGCCGTTTATACAGGGACCCCACCAATAATGCAACCCCCTGTACAACCTACAAGCCTTCAAAATCAATGCTAATTTATATAGCCTGTCTATAAAGCGAATCGGAATGAAGCACATTACCAGCGCATACACAGCTAGTTCCTACATAATAAAAACGTGTTTGTCTTCCGCAGAAAAAAATAATATTGTATCCCTTCAGTGAATTCAGGGAAATGAACAGATTATAACAATTAAACTTTGTTAATACAACTGTGAAATTTGAGATAAAACATCACTAGACATGATGATTTACCGATTAAATTGTATTTCCTGTTCTGCTATTCATTGTTTTATATGCAGAGATTATGATTACCGTATGTATTGTCTTGTAAACTAAGCTGAAAGCAGTCAGGTACTTGTTATGCCCCAGACATGGGCAAGTTTCCCCTCATTACTTGAGACTGAATATAAGGTATCTTCTGACCAGTTCATTTCAAAAGTAATCAGTTTCAAACTGGTGAAGGGGCGGTCGGGTAGCCTAGTGGTTAAAGCGTTAGTTAGTCACGCCGAAGACCCGGGTTCGATTCCAGACATGGGCACAATGTGTGAAGCCCATTTCTGGTGTCCCCCGCCGTGATATTGCTGGAATATTGCTAAAAGCGGCGTAAAACCATTCTCACTCACTCAAACTGGTGAACAGACTCTGTTTCCAACACCTTGATTATACAGGTTATATGCTGTTTTCTAAAACTAGTTGATTTTAGAGCGAAATAGGTCCCAAATACAAAATACCTGAGACCACTGTTGGTTGAAAATGGGTATTTACAAGATGTCACCTGGTTGATTGAGTGTAATGTCCTCAACAGACCTTGAAACAAAACTATCCAAAGAACTCCCAAGCAAGTCTTAAATAGTTTGGCAAGTCGAGAAAGCTTCAGTTCCAGTGTCTGAAAATGAAGAGATTCTCTGGGCTCCTTTCTGTTATATGTTTAAAGACAATTAATCAAAAGAAAATCATAAAATATTTCAGAGATAAAATGTCTCATTCCCCAATGGCATAGATTAGTGTTGTCCACACTACCATCCACCGACTTGCTTGGGCCAAACATTATTATTTACAGGCCATGTGACAATGGTATTGTCAGAATATTGCTGACTGGCATCACTGGGATAGACAATAACCTAGGAAGTCTACTCTACTACACATAGTCTCAATAGTGATGCTGTGCAAAGTTGCGTCCCTTGTCACGCCAGAAACCTATGATTGTGGGTTCGAATCCTGGTTCGCCCCGATTACCGTATTTTCTTGAGTATAGTGCGCACTTTTTTTCGAAAAAACACAGCTGTGTAGAAGGGGGTGCGCATTATACACGAATTATGAGTTTGGATGTTTTTTCCCCCCATGGAAAGACATTACCGTGAGCACGAAACACCGGAAATACCATGTCAACAAATCCATACTGAAGTACGCAAAATACTTATGTAATTACACTGTCTGGCTATAAAAAGTGTTCTTTTTATATCTGGACTTATGTTTGTAACTTATTTCATCGATTTTATTCAAAATTCCTTATAATATTGTTTTTATTAATTTCGGCGAAATCGTGTGTGAAGCGATCGGAAGATCGCACAACTCACCGTTATTAGCAGCAACCACGGTCAGAATACCGCTATTGACGCCTTGAAACAAACTTTAGTTGACAGAGAATGGATATATATATCATAATTGACACTTTGCCTCGTTAAAAGTCTTTTTGTTTTTGTTTGACGATTCTATGTCAACATGAAATTCTCGCGATCACGTGATCACGTGCGCGTGAGCCTTGACGGTGACTGGTCAGACATGTTCCATATAATTAAGAAAATAATGGAATATATTATTCCTGATAAATAAAATAGTTTCAGATACAATTGTTGCCGATCCTTGCATTAAAAATCTTATAAAGTTATATCATTGGATGTGTCTTGACCGAATCACCGGTCGATTCCAAGAAAATGTGTGTACAGCTGATTGCTCTTTCCAGCTTAGTTTACGAGAAAATACACAAGGTAATCTTAATCCCTAAATATAAAACAATGCCTAGCAGAACAATAAATACTTTTTAAACGGTAAATAAACATGTCTGGTGATTTTTTATCTCAAATTTCGAATTTGTACTGACGAAGTTTCTCAGCACCCGTTCGTTTGCCGGACTTCGCTGAAAGGGTACGGTGTAAAAAATTTCTGCGCATAATATTCAAATTTCTTTTTTCCAAAATATTGAACCCGCTAGAGGGGGGTGCGCATTATACATGGGTGCGCACTATACTCAAGAAAATACGGTACGTTTCTAGGTTTGTCAGCACCATACCCATGCTCGTGGGTTTCACCGAAGTGGTAAAGGTCTGAGACCTGCATCACTTCGGGCTTTCCTCCCACATTAAGCTGACACGCCGTGATATGACTGGAATACTGTTAAAAGCGGCGTTAAACCCAACTCACTCACTCACTCACTCAATAGTGATAACGTATTCAGAGCTCTAGATCACTTTTTGAGCAATTGAGTTTTTACTCTAGGGTTTCTATTTTAATCATGTTAATTGGGTTATTACATTTTATATTGGTGTCCAAAATATTTTTTCACTCATCACTATTCATCACTCTATTGGGTTTTCCCCAAATTAGTGAACATTTTAAGATTTGAAAAAAAATGAAATAATGTTTTAGATGTATATAACCATGATAACTGTTCTAAATATATAGGCTTGACTCGGAAAATAAGTTAGTTCGTAATTTGTGTTTCAGAAATTAGCTCCTTTGTACGCATGTTGAAAAAGCTTCATTGGGTATTTACGCAAGCTGTTTTTGTACATTTGAGTTTTTCATTTAATGCATGTGTTTCTGTACACAAGTTAATTGAAAGTAATTGGGTTTGGAATATTGGGGGGGGGTATTTTACACAAATATGCTGCTTATCTGTATCTCTGCATATTGGAATGCCCCAAAGGTTTCATAAATCTACCAGCTCTGAGAATACTTAACCATTAGCTTAACTGCCTCGGGTTAGTGGGCAAGTTCTAATTTCTATCCTGTCATAGAACAAAATTCACAAAGAACTAGTTTTTCTTACTGCAGCAGCCTGTAATTTTAGCCCCTAGTCCAAAGCAGTCTAGTAAGCTTTACTAAGGAAAATCATCACATTAGCACTGATATCTGTTGACAATGATGTCAAGAGACAGGTTCTGGCTGGTAGACTCAAGTGAGTTTGACGCAGACTGCTCTGTGTAGAAGTAGGTGCACCAACTCACTCAGTGGTGACACAGAAAAAGGTGATAGTTTTGAGCAGGTAGTAGAGGATCAGTGAGTTCTCCACGCACTTCCCCATTCCCTAACCTTATGACATTACGTGTTGCAGGTAGAGCAGCGGGATGTCCCTGGCATCGACAATGCCTTCCTGGCCATGGACACAGAGGAGGGTGTGGAAGTCGTATGGAATGAGGTCCAGTTCTCTGAGAAGAAAAACTTCAAAGCCCAACAGGTATGTAGTGTTTACTCAGGATTTATCTAGGGCTTAATTGTTGTTAATAATTAGTTTGACTCTTTTCAGAAATTGTGCGATTTTCTAAAAGTCATGACAATGGCGTAAAAAGGCCTGACATATATGTTTTAAAATAATAAACACATGAATAGGATTCAAAAGACTTTTTTTTCTGCCCAAGTGACTTTTTCTAAGATGATAATAATTTCCTCTGGTTATCCAGTATCAAACCTGTATTTATGTGTCTGCTGTAATTGTCAACCTCTCACCCGCAGGACAAGATCCGACAGGTGTTTGACAACCTGATTCAGTTGGAGCACCCAAACATTGTCAACTTTCACAAGTATTGGACTGACACCAAGGGAGATAAGCCCCGGGTACGTGGACAACACTCACTGAGATAGGCCTTACAAATTGCTTCAGTTTCATGCTGTTCATGTTCTAGGACATTGACTGAATGCTGTCATTAATTTAAGGTTGTTTTCAAATTGATAATCATGAAGACGAATGCCCTGCAGTTATTGATAGCATAATGAAAGTATTATAGATTGTTCTTATATCATATGATGCTAGCAAAATCACAGCACTTCTGTCTCAACAAGATAACTAGTAGGACATTTTTTTATAAATGCTCTCTTAAAAATAATGTTTACTTAAAGCGAAAAGAATTTCTTTTTAAAATTTAAAATAGATGGAGAATATGTTTTTCCACAATGATGTGAACTATAAAGATTTAGTTTTATTTTCTCATATATTTTTTTCAATAATTTTTAAAGTAATCCACAAACCAAGGAAAATGAGACTAGATGTTGCTATTGCTAAGATTTAAGAATTAGAGTTGCAATTATTGTTTATGATTCATTCTGTGAAGAAAGTTAAACACGAAGTGGAGTAAAGCTGAACTTGTTAGTCTGGATCCAAGCTACATGTAGTTGATTGAAGCCATACCTGGCAGCATTTTATTCTTGTATATTTAACAAAATAAAATCTAGGTCAAGACACTGTGAAACAGCTAAGACGTGTGATTGTGACGTGTATCATCGAGTACCCTGTTTTCGAACGACACCATTTTTTGATAGCCATATTGATCGTGATTTGTCGTATTAAGATGAGAGGTGTGACATTGTCAAAGCTGCCAACATGACAGTGCACACAAACATCCTGTCAACACTGGTTCATGTGAAGTACTGATCACCAGTTGAACAGTCTGTCTCATTCACAATTTTGATGCCCAAGAGTAAAATAGTGTGAACACTACAAATTCATATTTTGCGAAGAGGTTTCAAACTTTCAGTTACCTTTTTTATGGCACCCTTAGGAATAATGTTGAGAACTGTGCACCAGTTTGTTGTTTAATGCCGCACTCAGCAATATTCCAGCTATATGACGACGTTCTGTAAATAATCGAGTCTGGACCAGACAATCCAGTGATTGGTATCATGAGCATCGATCCACGCAATTGAGATACGATGACATGCATCAACCAAGTCAGCGAGCCTTAATATTGATATATAGCTGAATTCTAGACATCATCTACCAGTAGGAACTCAAATCTACATTTGGATTCTCTCATCCCTTGAAATGTCAGCAGTGGTGTTGTAAGTGCTCGTAGGGGTGATAGGGTAGCCTAGTGGTTAAAGCGTTCGCTCGTCACGCCGAAGCCCCGGGTTCAATTCCCGACATGGGTACAATGTGTGAAGCCCATTTCTGGTGTCCCCGGCCGTGATATTGCTGGAATACTAAACTCACTCACTCACTGTAAGTGCTTGTAAATGGGGTATAAGAGGATATATGTTTATATTGTTGAGTGTGTATATATGTTTTGAACTTCTTAATTGATTGATGTTTTTGAAACTGCAGGTTATCTTCATTACGGAGTATATGTCCTCTGGATCTCTCAAACAGTTCATGAAAAAGACCAAAAAGAACAACAGGCAGTTCCCTCTAAAGGTGAGTTACAAATATAGGGAGAAACAAAGCTGCTCTTTGTACTACCCATTGCTTTTTTTCTGAGAAAATGTAGAAAAATGTGGGTTTCCTGATCTCGTCAGCTGAGTTACTCCATTGTTGAAACAACATCACATAATGTCGTCATGAACAATGGATGTCGTCAACTTTAATTATGTGTGACAATGTGTTCATATGATGTCATGTTGCTATTGGTCTCTTCACAAAGTATGATAGCAATGGAACAATTGTTATAGTGCTCGGTGACAATCACTGAAAATATTTACCCTTATGACAAACATCCAGTCTTCAGGTCGACTAGGTTGTGTTGTATTTATAGCTTCTGTTGTGTATATTCCTAACAAAGTAAAGTAAGGTAAAGTTTCAGATACATTTCGTTACTTGGGCTGGAAAAAAGCTGAGGTAGAGTTGAGTATAGGGATGTTATCAACAATTGTTGTCAAGACCGAAATAACATAGAAAGTGCAGATTTCCTGGTTTGTTGGTATGAACTTTGCATGCGTTCTCATGTAGTGTTCCAGTAACTTGTACATGCTTACACTGAGATGTAAAGGGCACAAAATTGGGTACAGTCTCATTCTACATTAGACCCGTGAAGATCCGGGGTAGAATAGGTCTTCAGCAACCCATGCTTGCCGTAAAAGGCGACTATGCTTGTCGTAAGAGGCGACTAACGGGATCGGGTGGTCAGGCTCGCTGACTTGGTTGACGCATGTCATCGTATCCCAATTGCCTGGATCGATGCTCATGATGTCAATCACTGCATTGTCTGGTCCAGACTCAATTATTTACAGACCGCCGTCATATAGCTGGAATATTGCTGAGTGCGGAGTTAAACAACAAACAAACATCATTCTACATTAATTAACATTATACTATATTCTTCTCTCTTTTCATATACCAGAGTTGGAAAAGATGGTGTACTCAAATACTCTCAGCTTTGAGGTGAGTTGTATCTATGTTCATTATCCAGCCTATTTCTAGCCCACAGTTCATTTCAGTTGAGTGTTATTTGTACAGATCCATTGTACAGAAACAGCACGATTGTATTGTATTGAAGGCCAAGTATTGCAATGCACTGAGTTTTGTTTCACCATGGAAAAGAAGAAATCTTGACAAAATATGGTGTCATGCCTTAAAAGTAGCCCCTCTACAGGGTTAGAACAAGCAAAACCGCAAAATCTAGACCTGTGGTATCAATTCAAGTTTGGATATTTGCATGTGCCAAATAGAAATGTTCAGGTTTCTAGAAGCAGTACATTTTGTCATTCAGGAAACTCAAATAATTTGAAAGATTTCTATATCTTCAGAACAAATAATCAATTGTTGTTGCTCTAGTGCCTTGCTTATGGACCCGTGAAGATCCGGGCTAGAATAGGTCTTCAGCAACCCATGCTTGCAGTAAAAGGCGACTACATGTTTGCTTGTCGTAATAGGCGACAAATGGGATCGGGTGGTCAGACTCCATTGCGTGGATTGATGTGCATGATGTCAGTCACTGGATTGTCTGGTCCAGACTCGATTATTTACGGCCGCTGTCATATAGGAGGAATATTACTCAGTGCGGCATTAAACAACAAACCAAAGCAAAACCAAAGAACCTTGCTTATGATCTTGTGTTTCTTCCTAGTTATCTACATTCCTGTAATCCTCCAATCATTCACGGCAACTTGACGTGTGACACCATCTTTATCCAGCACAACGGCCTCATCAAGATAGGCTCAGGTACAGTCTCACAGCTAGGGAGAAAAGTTTCACTAACTGAAGATAGTAGATGCATTTGTGGTTCATTTTATAAACATATGCTACTCCACTTTTGATTGGGGTATATTTTTCTTTCATTGATACACATACATGATTCTCATACTATGTCATGTGTATATTTAATTAGAATTACATATCTGATTACCCTTATCAGAAGTTGAGTAGTATATATAGTGCTCAACTGACTTGTTGAAGTCATGAAAGTCATACAACAGGAGTCTGTGGAGATACCTGTCAAAAGAGCCAACTAAATGTATTGGGTGGACAGGCTCACTGACTTGTCGTATCCCAATTGTATGGATCGATGCTCATGATGTTAATCAGGGGCACAGGTGACCCAGTCGTCGAAGGCACCGCAATTCGCTGTGCAGAGTTGCGTCCCTTGGGCTCCCCAGAAACCTATGATTGTGGGTTCGATTCCCGGTTTGCCCCGATTATGTTTCTAGGTTTGTCAGCACCATACCCATGCTCGTGGGTTTCACCGAAGTGGTAAACGTTTGAGACCTGCATCACTTCAGGCTTTCCTCCCACATAAGGCTGACACGCTGTGATATAACTGGAATACTGTTAAAAGCGGCGTTAAAACCCACCTCACTCACTCACTCATGATGTTAATCATTGGATTGTCTGGTCCAGACTTGATTATTTACAAACTGACGTCGTGTAGCTGCAATGTTGCTGATTACAGTGTTAAACAACACACAAAACAATACAATGAAATCATTTCATTATTTGATAGAATAACATGTATAGTAGCAAGGCCACATGGTTGTACTATAACTGTGATGTGTGTTTCAGTTGCTCCGGATGCCATCCATCTGCATGTGAAGACGTACCGGGACGACCTGAAAAACATGCACTGCATCGCTCCTGATCCAGGTAATAAGGCAGGGAGAAATAACACTTGTGTCTCAGGTAGCATACCTTTAGCAGGTATAACTTGTAGAAATTTATACATTACTTTATTAACTTTTTGAATAGTCTACTAAGGAACTTTTTGTTTATTAGTACATTTTCCATAATATTAATGTTCATCACTTTTCCTGACCAGTTACTGATGAGATAAACACAAAATCCTATGTTCTTACCAGTGTTTGCTTGGTTTACAAACCTTTTTTTGATGATCCTATGAAATAGATCTTTACAGGGACATCACCATCACCTTTACCCAACATTACATTTAGAGTTGTTTTAAAATATTTTTTCAAAAATAAGTTCCAAATTGAATGAACCCTGATTTTGAAATCCCTTTATGCGTTTATTTACGATGGTTTGCTGTATGTGATGAAATAACCATCTTTCCCCTTTTTAACTACAGAACCCATTACAACGAAAGTAGACCTCTATTCCTTTGGAATGTGCGCCCTGGAGGTAAGAACTGATTTGTCACTACTTCATGTAAGTGTTATTATAATCTTGCCTATTAAGAGGATTTAACATGGATTTCTTCAAAATGAAATTTCATGTAAGTGTTATTATAATCTTGCCTATTAAACGGATTTAACATGAATTTCTTCAAAATGATATTTCATGTTAGTGTTATAATCTTTCCTATCAAACGGATTTAACATGGATTTCTTCAAAATGAAATTTCATGTTAGTGTTATTACAATCTTGCCTATCAAACGGATTTAACATGAATTTCTCCAAAATGAAATTTCATGTAAGTGTTATTATAATCTTGTCTATTAAACGGATTTAACATGGATTTCTTCAAAATGAAATATTTTTTTATAAAATTAAATGAATAAAACGGTTCACTTTTCTTCACACAGATGGCAGCACTAGGTTTCCATGGAAATGGTGAAGGCGGGAATCTTGTGACCCTTGAGGCAATACAGCATACACTTGACTCTCTGGATAATAAGCTTCTCAAGGTATGTGTGATGTGAATTAGTCCTTTAAGGCTTCTGCCCAAGTCGACCCCCCTAAGTCTGTCCCCAGCCTTGCACTTTTGTTTTTGAAACTATGTAATGCTTGGACACTTTATATGGGCTCTTTGTCCTTGTCAAACTAGTCAACATCTGATCGGAGAGGTTTATTATAGGACATAGGAATGCTGTCTGTCCATGCTGCAGTTTATCTAAGAGGTACTTGTCAAGATTGAATTTGAAATTGGTCCTGCCAATTTTTATCTTATTTATAGAGTTATGGTCCTTGATCCATATTATCTAACTTGGTACATTGTGTCTGGTTGGGGACAAGTTTTCTCAGAAACTACTGAAGTTAGCCTATCTAAGAGGTAATTATCAAGACAGTTATTTTTTCCAGAGAAGGGGCCTTTTGTGTGTATTAATTTCACTTTTAATCTTTTATTCTGATGACATGAAGCAGCCTAAATGCCTATCTTTTCTCAAGGCTTTATAGGACTCTTTTGTTTTAGTTTATATTCACTACTATAAGAACAAAGAATATTCTAATGTGCCCCATGGCGGGAGATAGTGATGACACTGTTTTTACTTGTCCAATGTCACTATATTTTCCAGATGTACTTTATTACTGGTGACAAAGTATTTGTTGCCATAACCATAATCAATTTCATACGCTTCGCAGACCTTGTTTATGTTTTACTATAGTACCATAATACACCTTTCTGCAACCTACAATGAAGTGTTTTTGGTAGACGTGTTTAGATAAAGTCTTTCTTATCCTATTTTCAGGATTTCCTGGTCAAGTGCATCGATAGGGATCCCCACAAGCGCCCCAATGCCAGAGAGCTGTTGTTTGAAGCAGTATTATTTGAGGTCCACTCTCTGAAACTGCTGGCTGCACACACCTATGCCAAGACTACATGTAAGTTATATGTACTTGTTACAACTGCTGCTCAGTAAACTGTGTTTGTGTTTATATTCAAGTTGGTATTTCCGCTATCTAAAGTGTACAGTGAGGTCATCTTATTGTTGAAAGACATTTATCTTTTCAGACATAAATGCAAAGTTTCATTAATGTGATCAAAGACCACTCTCATTTTTCGCATTTAATTCACGCTCACGTCAATTTCAAGATTTATAGTATTGTGCTTGGTTGAACAATGAAATGTCACAGAATCACTTGTAATTTATTTATTTTGCAGCCAATCTTCCAGAGAAGCTGACAGAAGAGGCCTGCTTTACCAAATCTGATCCAAACAAAGTGATAGCAGAGATACACCATCCGAACAAAAGCCCATTTCAGATGAGGCAAGTGAATACTGCTGTCACACTTAGTAAACCCAGCTGTGATGTGACTGGAATACTGGTGTTACTTATGTAAACCTATACTCACAATGGGTTCCATGTGTGAAGCCCATTTCTAGTGTCCCCTGCTGTGATATTGCTGGAATATTGGTAAAGGCGACATTAAACCCAAACTCGTTCACTCTCCATACTCACAGATACCTAGTGTCTCCATGTTAATATCGAACTAATTGTGCGTAAAATGTGATCAAGATGGATAATTTATCCTTCCTTGAAAAGATAAGAAAACACTTTATCATATAATGGGTAGGTTTCTCGGCAGGATAAAGCCAACGGATAAAAACGATATCCGTTGGGGTCATATGCGGATAGAGATGCAAATATCAAAGGTCAAGTAGGGACTACTTTCACTGTTTATAAACAAACATGGCGTCGCCCTTGTCATTCGGCGATCGAGTCAGAATTAACCATCGGGAATCTGGATAAACTACAGGGATAATTGCTATCATTATCAAAAGAACAGTCTAATATACTGAAAATCTGTGTCTAACTGTGACATAGCTAAGGCATTTTATAAGTTTTGTCAACTTTGGAGATATAAATTTCGAAACAATTTGGCGAGGGCACGAGGTCTAGCCAAGCGGGATCAGTAGCCATATCTGTGCTTGTAGACCTCTGCGGCTTGAAACCTCCTCCACAAATTAAAATAGTTGGATTTGGCGGATATATGTTTGAATTGTTACCTTGTTTCGTTTTGTCGCTGTGTGTACATCTGACTACACTTCTTATTGTAATGACAGGACAGACCGACTGTCAACAACGTCTGACCGAGGCCGTGACGTCTCATAGACTAGGGTTAGAGTAGCTTCCCTTTGACAAAGGGCAGTTACTCTAGCGGACAGACCGATGGATTGCCACGAAAGGCAATTAAAAACAATTGTTGTTTTGCGTATATGTTGCTTCGCCACTGTATAAGAAACGGATTTCAGTTGGAACTATATTGGCTACTGTCACTGTCCGACTGACACATCACTTACCCTGTGACGTACTAAATATTAATGCGCGCATTCCAGGAAAACTCGCAATGTTTCGGTAATGTTTGTGAGAGAGGGAAAGCGATTTTGAAGCACAGAATTAAAGAATGACATTATATGATAAAGAGGTTATCACGCTTGTTTGTTTGGGGATGGTAAATATCCTGCATTAGGAATAAACACTATGTATTTAGCTCGCCAAGGCTCGCTAAATACAATGTTTATTCCTAATGCAGGATATTTACCATCCCCAAACACACTCGCGTGATAACCTCTATCTATATGCATGTCGTAATTTTGGCAACCCATGCTTGTCGTAAGAGGCTATGTCACTAATGAGATTGTATGGATAGGCTCAATGACTTGATTGATGCTTGTCATCGTATCCTGAGTATGTAGATCGATGCTCATGATGTCAATCCCTGGATTGTTTGGTCCAGACTTGGTTATTTAGGATGTATGGTTATTTATCATATACCTGGAATATTGCTTAGTATTGTTAAACAACAAACAAACAAACTGAAACTCTGGGAACGTTATTAGTGACTGTAAAAGTGTAAGTGTTGTTGAAGTGTTGCAACAAAAAAATGCTTGTATCGTCTGATACTTATGTTCTTGCTTCCTCAGGTTTTCACAAGTGCCAGCATTGGAGTTGGAAAAGTTCCTTGAAGATGTGCGGTAAGTTTTAGGAATCGCTTTCAATTATTGTGCCATGAATCCATTGACATGATATGTTTTGATTGATATCTGTATCTTTGGGACACAAGCACTCTATCAGTCTAACACCAGACAATTTGCTGTACAGAATTGCATCCCTTAACCTTAACCTTTGTTTTTTTCACTCATTTGAAGTTGAATTGTAGCTTTTAGAATTTAAGTGTGCCAACTAGTAGAATAATTTTAAGCCATCATCAAACACTTTGAATATCGTTTCACCAAGGCTACATAACAAGCAGTTGTATTTATGAAAGTTTGCCCCTTCCTTTTCATTGAGATTGGTAATCCCCGCTGTCATTTCTATATACCCAGTTATATTTTATGAAATATAACTGTGCATTAAGCCTGTTCCCATGTTCATCATTTTCTATATATTGGTCATGTTTTTGGATGGATTCATACAATACTAATAATAATCTCATGGTCTTGTTAACAAACATGATTATAAGTGTGCCCTTCAGCAACATTGCCTTTTTGATTTGAACCATGGCTTTGGCATTGAAATACAAGGAACCTTGCAATGTTGAGAGCAACCCAACTCACGCAGTGTCTATGTGTTTACCAGGAATGGAGTGTACCCGCTGACAGCATTCGCAATGCCCCGTCCTCCTCCATCTAGGCCACAGGCCAAAACACCAGAACTAGCCGAGTCTGTGAAGTCGGAGACGCCGGAACACATGGATGTTGAGACCAGGATGGTGATCAATATGTCATGTCAGACACGCAAGAATGAGGACAACCCCACCAAGTTGATTACTATATTGCTAAGGATGGACGATAAAATGAACAGACAACTTCAGTGTGAGCTATCAGGGGAAGATAACTCCACAACTCTAGCTGAAGAGTTGGTTCACTATGGATTCATTAATGAGGTAGGAGTGAGTCAATAGAGCTTAATGCGAGTTTTTGAGCAAGTTGAGCTATTGGAGCATGTAATGGGGAAGGTATCAGTATACTGACACACAATGAAAACACATAATCATGAGACCCATGAAGAGTAGGTCTTCAGCAACCCATGCTTGCCGTAAAAGGCAACCATGCTTGTCGTAAGAGGCAACCAATGGGATCGGGTGGTCAGGCTCGCCGACTTGATTGATGCTTGTTATCGTATCCCAATTGCATAGATAGATGCTCATGATGTCAATCACTGCCTTGTCTGGTCCAGATGCGATTATTTATGAAATATGATTATTTATCATATACCTGGTATAATGCTGAGTATTGTTACACAACAAACAAATTGAAACTCTGGGAACATTATAAGGAATTGTTGGGTCCAGGCTCGATTATTTACAGACCGCCGTCATATAGCTGGAATATTGCTGAGTGCGGCATGGGTTGCTATTCTACCCCGGATCTTCACAGGTTCAGTGTTTGGGTATATTTTAGTAAATGGGAATACTAAAGTACTTGTTCATAAAACTCCATATCGTTCTTGAGAGGCAGTCCAAATGGAAAAGGGGCGGTCGGGTAGCCTAGTGGTTAAAGCGTTCGCTTGTCACGCCGGATACCCGGGTTCGATTCCCGACATGGGTACATTGTGTGAAGCCCATTTCTGGTGTCCCCCGCCATGATATTGCTGGAATATTGCTAAAAGCGGCGTAAAATCACTCTCACTCACTCACTCACTCACTCACTCACTCACTCACTCACTCACTCACTCACTCACTCACTCACTCACTCACTCACAAATGAAAATGAAGTGAAGGATTGAATGAGGGCAGGTAGTATGTGAATGTTGATTGACAATGAAGAACAATGAGGCACTGACTGTGCACCAGTAATGGGCTTCACACATGTACCCCTGTGGGGAATCAACCCCAGGTGTTCAGAGTGACAAGTGAATGCTTTACCCACTTTCACCAGGAAGACAGATTGTTGTTTGTATATGTTGTCTCTTTAGCTTCCGGTTTCGTCATATCCAGATTGTTTTGCTTCAATTTTGGGTTGCCCTGATGTAGCAGGCAAAGTGCTGATACAGCATTAATCCACTCGCACACAAATTGATTAAAAACATTCCTAACTGTCCAGGAAACAATGTAGATGTATTTTTGCAAGAACCTTTAATATCAAATAATTGCTCTCTTTTCAGCTTGACAGAGACAAAGTTGCCATAATGATCGATGAGAATTTGAAAAATGGTATGTGCAACGAATCGCCCACTCCACCAATAGCCATTCCATCCTCGTAACTTCGGGGCTCTTCGAAATTCCCCAGGTTTTCGGCCAAATACTTTACAGGCTCTTCACCCATGATAAATTATGGGAACTGCCTAAACCAGAGCGAACACTTGGTTGCAGTACAAAACTCACGGAAATCACTGTAATATCTGTCCTAGTCAATGCAGTAAATCAACAGTCAAGGAAACAAGCACATGCTTCCGTAGTTTATCGTGGAGATGTGTCCAGTTGCCAACTCTGAAGAAGAAAGTGCCTTTACAGAAACTGTCCTGAGTTCCAGTCCAGCATCCTCTGATATATACCCAGTTCAGTAGCTGGTACATTGATATATACCTGGTACAGTAGCTGGTGCATTGATATATACTCAGTTCAGTAGCTGGTACATTGATATATACCTGATACAGTAGCTGGTGCATTGATATATACCCAGTTCAGTGGCTGGTACATTGATATATACCCAGTTCCGTAGCAGGTACATTGGTATATACCCAGTTCCGTAGCTTGTACATTGATATATACCCAGTTCTGTAGCTGGTACATTGATATATACCTGGTACAGTAGCTGGTGCATTGATATATACCCAGTACAGTAGCTGGTACATTGATATATACCCAGTTCTGTAGCTGGTACATTGATATATACCCAGTTCAGTAGCTGGTACATTGATTTATACCCAGTACAGTAGCTGGTGCATTGATATATACCTAATACAGTAGCTGGTACATTGATATATACCCAGTACAGTAGCTGGTACATTGATATGTACCCAGTTCTGTAGCTGGTACATTGATATATACCCAGTTCAGTAGCTGGTACATTGATATCTACCCAGTACAGTAGCTGGTGCATTGATATATACCTAACACAGTAGCTGGTACATTGATATATACCCAGTACAGTAGCTGGTACATTGCTGGTACATTGATATATACCTGGTACAGTAGCTGGTACATTGATATATTACCAGTACAGTAGCTGGTACATTGATATATACCCAGTACAGTAGCTGGTACATTGATATATACCCAGTACAGTAGCTGGTACATTGATATATACCCAGTACAGTAGCTGGTACATTGATATATACCTGGTACAGTAGCTGGTACATTGATATATACCCAGTACAGTAGCTGGTACATTGATATATACCTGGTACAGTAGCTGGTACATTGATATATACCCAGTACAGTAGCTGGTACATTGATATATACCCAGTACAGTAGCTGGTACATTGATATATACCTGGTACAGTAGCTGGTACATTGATATATACCCAGTACAGTAGCTGGTACATTGATATATACCTGGTACAGTAGCTGGTACATTGATATATACCCAGTACAGTAGCTGGTACATTGATATATACCCAGTACAGTAGCTGGTACATTGATATATACCTGGTACAAACCCAGTACAGTAGTCAGTACATAAGCAATTCAACATCAGGTTGCCTGGGAGGCTCCATGTATTGGATGCTTTCATACAAGTTACTTTGAGGTTTGTTCAGTTGTATCATATAATTAAGAAATAATGATAATTACCAAAGCAAGACTTGTGTTTTGTTTGGGGAAGAAACTCTTTTGTTGTTCCTCTCCTATCTCATTTGACACTGTGCAACAATAGGGGGAGAAAGTAACTCAGTTTTATCACTAATTTCTTATAACGTGATGGAAAAGTACTTAAATGTTAGTATTTTGTAACCATCCTATGATGCCTATGGATACCTTAACCTATTTCTATTTGGATGGGACAAGTGAGAATTTCTTTTCGAATATTCTAACACATTTCAGGTTCATGTCAAATGTAATTCTTGGACAGCTAAATTTATATGCATGCTAAGGAAATTAATCACATCTTTGTATAAAAATTTACTGATTTCCCCCCCCCCCAAAAAAGAAAACCACAACAAAAACAACAACTGAAAATAAATGAGTCATATAACTGTAATCACAATAATGGAACCTTTGGTGGTACCACAAAAGTTTTCTTTTAAGTTCAGCTGTAGAATTTTCCAGAAACACTGAAAGATGGTAGTATGATAATGACAATCGTTGAATCCGTATGTTTGTATGATATTAGATGTTATTAAATTTCATTTTTGGTTTGGGTATGTATCAATTGTGAATGAAATGTATTGAACTGTTTTCATTATCTTCATAGTTGACATTGATTTTGATATCTGTGAAGTAAATTCTGGTTTGTTTTAAGATTTTGGTGTATGTGCCAGTACTGTGTTTCAAATAATTGAACACTTATGAGATTACAAAACAGATCTAAAATACATCTTGTTTCAAATTTCATCAACTAAAGAAAAGGCAGTGGCCATTGGCAACACAACTTAAAATGTTTTGCACGTACTCAGTCCTCATTGCTCCTGCATCTCAACAGGGTTGGGGGGCACGGGTGGCCCAGTCGTCTAAGGCGCCGCCATTCGCTGTGCAGAGTTGCGTCCCTTGGGCACGCCAGAAACCTATGATTGTGGGTTCGAATCCCGGTTCGCCCCGATGATGTTTCTAGGTTTGTCAGCACCATACCCGTGCTCGTGGGTTTCACCGAAGTGGTAAACGTCTGAGACCTGCATCACTTCGGGCTTTCCTCCCACATTAAGCTGACACGCTGTGATATAACTGGAATACTGTTAAAAGCGGCGTTAAACCCAACTCACTCACTCACTCACTCAACAGGGTTGTTTTAGATTCTGAGCCTATTTTGACATACTCTGATGACTATTGTATGCATGTGATATATCTTGTTGGTGTAAAAGCAGGTACTTGCATCAGTGTATCATTTAGCTGTTTATTATTTTGGTCTGTTATCAAACAGTATTATTCAGTGTATAGAGCTGTATGCCTGGGTTATTGTCTGAGTATATCATGGTAGCAATGTGGATGTTTTGCTGTGTTGCCGAATGTGTTAATGCAGTTTGTAAAAATTATATATATGTATATAAACTTAGCAGTATAAATACAATAGAAACTTGAACATGGGACGTCTTGTGTATGCATGGACGAATGGACGATTTTTTTCTGTAAACATTTGTGATTGGGCAAACCCCAAGACTCGTTTAATGATTGACTACAATGGTCAGTTTGGAGTTGAAGTGTTGAATTTGTTGACTCAATAACTGGAACACATGTGAATGGAATTTTATAGACATGAAAAAAAACACATAGCAATTCAGTTAGGGAGTATTTGCTCACCTGAATAGAAATCAAGTGAGCAATGGCATTGTCCTTCTGTCGTTACCGTATACCTTTTTGACATTGAATTTGCAAGGCTTATGGAGGTGCTGAAATTTGTATGAATGACCCCAGTGATGGCTTTTCTGGAAATTGATCGTAGAGTTCCAATCTGATTTTACACATGGTTGCCATTTTTTGTTCAGAATTCAGGTGAACTACACAGCTTTGTGACTCTATATTATTAGTTTTATTTGTCCAATTAAGATATTTTTTTCAGTGAACACAAATGTAGTCTTTTACCCATTGAAACTGCTCTCAAGCCTTGTATAGTTCTTCCCCAGAAGCAGTCCACAATTACTCGAACTAGGATAAAGATTGCAGACAGGACTTTTCCTTGACAGTCCTGGTTGAAGCAGAGCATTTAGCATTCACAGCCTTGTATAGTTGTTCCCCACAAGCAGTCCAAAGTTTCTCAAGGGGGCACGGGTGGCCCAGTCGTCTAAGGCGCCGCAATTTGCTGTGCAAAGTTGCGTCCCTTTGATTGTGCCAGAAACCTTTGATTATGGGTTTGAATCCTGGTTCGCCCCGATTATGTTGCTAGGTTTGTCAGCACATTAAGCGGACATGCCGTGATACTGACACTGTAATACTGTTAAAAGCGGCATTAAACACAACCCACTCACTCAAAGTTTCTCAAAACAGCTTTTTGGGGCACATTGTGACAGTGTCAGTATACACAAATACAGCCATTGTAATGATACCCCAGCAACTGACATGGTTTGTGAAGACAAAAATGATGTGCAATGATGTTTTGTGTACAGAATGGATGTGAAGTTAATTTTGATATGTTCAGTGTAATATGAGCTCCTATGAAGTTTTTTTTATGTCAACTTTGCACAGGATTTGTGTTTGCCTTGTTTCCAAGTTGAATATGGACTTGAAGCCGACTTAGGTAAAAATTGGAATGGAATATTCATCTCCTCTTTGATAATTGTCTATTCTAAAACATAGTAGAAAATATTAAAGGGGCCTTCAGCCCTTGTTTGAGAAGTATTTTTGTTATCAGATTAAGGGTGCAGTGATAAGTGTCATGAAACACACTTACTGTTAAAGCGATATATTCAAAAATACATATCGGGGGTTACTCTTGAGTACAGAATTGGGATACAGAAACATTACCATCATATTGTTTGTTTTTATTTTTAAAAGTAAACATAAGAATTTGTTCACTGATTTTAAATATATAATTAATAAAATATTCAAAAATGCATATCGGGGGTTACAAGTAATCTTTTGGCTTATGCGTTACTGAGGTATTGACTTGCTGCGGTTGCGCAACCATATTGTCCCACGGAATAAAAAAATACAACACGGATTATAACCTGAATGTGTGGTTGGTGATGTTGTACATATGTGTTGGGTCTTGTGCTATAAATGGTGCTTCTGTCTGCTGCTTTTGGTGTGGACACTTTGTGAAATAAGATTAAAGTCATGTATGCTTCTCTAGTGTGTTTTAAGTGTGAAAAAAATCCTGTGATTATATTTTCTTACAAAGTCATTCAATGTATTTCCAGTAGTGAAAATGTTGATTTTTAGTTAAGTTACTGGTATTGGTAAGTACTTACAAGCACTGCAGCTCCCAGAGACAAAAAGTAGAGAGTCAAAATGATTTTGAAATTTTCATAGTTTGTTTAGAATTTCATGATACCATTTGCTAATGATAATCACAACAAAATCAAAATAAATCTCATTTAAGCTAAGATAATGGTCGATTTCTCCATTCCAGCTGTCAGTGTAATTAGCCAAAGAAATGGATTACAGTGCGTGTTATATTGTCCTTGTTTACATTGCTTGGAACAATCATTTTGATAGCACATGGAGAGATTTGTAAATATGTTTGTAATCACCATGGTTACAATGTATGGTGCTTGTTTCAAATACATGTTTTTATCCAATCTTTGTGGGTTATCTCCCTTTACTCTGAGCCAAGATCACCTGGAAAGTTGTCTTCTGCTAATTCATCATATTCCACACTGGGGTGTAGAACTGCCCCTGAATGTTGTCCACAATGTCATAATGTTTTCACATAGTACATTGATTGAAATCAACATTTAAACATTTGATTATGTTTCTAGGTTTGTCAGCACCATACATGTGCTCGTGTGTGTCACTGAAGTGATGAACGTCTGTATCACTTCAGGCTTTCCTCCCACAGTATGCTGACGCACCGTGCTGTAACTGGAATACTGTTAAACACACCTTTAAACCCAACTTGTACACTAAATGAGGGTGTATAATTAGGCCAGACTGAAGTTTATTTTCTCTTTTTTTTCTCTCAGAATTTCCAGATTAATATGACATGCCTTGAGGCAGGAGCAAAGACATAATATAAAATCGTCTTGATTAAGTTTTTGAAATAACATGCCTCAAAAAGTGTATTTTCAACCACATGCAACAATTTATTGCTTTTATATCATTTTAACTTTTACAAACTCCAGAGCATGCCCTTAACAAGATTAGATAGATCACACCTTTCATTGACACAAACCAGTGATTGTGGCTTCAAATCCCTGTTAATGTTTCAAGGTTTGTCAGCACCATACCCATGCTCGTGGGTTTTACTAAAGTGGTAAATGTCTAAGACCTGCATCACTTCAAGCATTCCCACATTAAGCTGACACGCCGTGATGTAACAGGAATACTGTTCAAAACGGTGTTAAACCCACACAAAGCAATTTAGTTGCACAGTGATCAACTTGCTGAGGCTGTGTCTTGTTTTGACAAGGTCATCTTTAATCAGGGTAAAACCTCTCTCACATTTGGTCCAGTTGGTCAAGGGAGGTAACTCACACCATCCTATCCACTTCCCTTTATTTCAGGATCTTGACATTATTGTATGACATGTAGATGTATATTTATTTCTTATTGTTCTTCATGCAGATGTGTATCACCAAAGTACTGTGGCATGAATTCAGTATTTGTTCAAAGGCATTATTTTTGGTTCCTGCAGTATACATTATTCTTTGATTTGGTTGTATATTTCTTTGTTTATGCATACATCCACTCGAATTCCAATTTAATTCCAATTCAGTGTTCATTGTGATTTTTCTGTGTAGTCTCAAGACATCCTTCTTTCATTTTGAATACACTGATCCAGTCATTGAATTTCCCGGTACTATTCAAAGCATATATGGACAATATTTTGAATTGGTTTTTAACCGGCTGTTTTATTTCTCAGATACCTGTATCATTGATAACCAGTTGCATAAGGTTCATTCTTTGTTGAAGCGGTGATGTGAAGTTAACTTCCAAACAAATGTGATCTTTTCATGTCAGGTAATTTTCACCACCGTAACAGGGTTCGACAAATATGCAAGGCCCCTTTCCACAAAGCGATCTTAGTGCTAAGTCGATCGTAACTCCCATTCTTTAACAGTGACTTACAGCAGTTGTAGCGCTAAGATCGCTTTGTGGAGTGGGTCCTAGGTTCTCAAGACAAATACCATCCTGGTAGAGAACATGGAGATGGTCTGACAGGAAAGTAGGAAATATGAAATGTCACCTTCATTCGTGTTCACCTTTAACAGAAATTGGAAGAATATTTGCAACTTGAAGGTGTTAGAATCTTTGTAGAACTGATGTCTTTCTGTGGATCATGAAATTTCTGTAGCAGTGGTGGCCTGAAAAATAATATTTGTCGAGCCCTGCATAACTTGTCCGAGGTAAACATTTGGATTAATGTTACTTAATGCATGTTTAAAGTGTGGTTTTTGAGTGTTTGAATTGACCAAGTTTAGTTTGAATTCAGCCAAGTACCTTCATGTATTACTGATAATTTGCGTTCTCACAATCACAACATGAGCATTTGTAGTTAAAAAGATCTTTCATTGTACTGATGAAAACCGTTTTCAATTTATCTCCCCCCGCCTCAACTAAATGCCCCGAGGGGAAGTCATATATGGCCATAATTACTGGAAATACAATTTCCTGACATCCTACATGGTCATATACAGCTCCTAAGTCAGCCTTAGGAACAGGGTGACAGTCAAGTTAGATCACTTCAAACATGTGTAAGCTGTCTTCATTTTACAAATATTGAAAACAAATTTGTAATATATGTTCTGAAGTGTTGGTTTACTTCCTGATTTCTTTCACCATATCTGTGCCAGGTTTGATTGAAAGGGTACATTGTTTGTAATGGCAGTAGATTATTTGTGTCCCAAAGGCATGCCAGAAAGCAATGATTGTGGGTCAAATCCTGGTTCACCCTGATTATGTTTCTTGGTTTGTCAACACCATTCTAGAGCTTATGGGTTTCACCAATCACTGGATTGTCACTTCTGGTTTCCACCATATCAGCTGACACACTGTGTTGTCATTGTTTAAAGCGGAGTCAAATTCAACTCACGCATTCCTAATTATTAGTTTTCCCATTTGTCAGATTTTTTTCACCGAAAATTGGTGTTGTAAGCTCTCCCAAACAAATAAATTGGAAACGGTTACTGTATTTAGAATTTTGCCAGTTACTAAATTTTAATTGAAAAATGAAATGATCTAGGATGTAGGTTTTGAAACTGTTTGATCTTCGTCAAGCTGGTTGGTACAGCAACATGCTCATTTGTTAACAGTCCCAATCCTGTGGAGTTACCATGACCAGTGTGAATACAAGTACGAAGTTCTTTACGGATGACTTTTGTTTTTGCAGTTCCAAAATCATAACTTGTTATCATTCCAAACTAGGAAATTTCTCTGAACTAGAAGAAACAAGACATTTGAAATTTTCTTAAATGTTTGTTGAAAATATCACAAAAAATCACTTACATTATTATGTACAAATGTTGATTGTTTTAAATTGAATCTTGTTCTCAAACCTTGCCATAATACATATCTGAAGACCTGTCCAGTAGGATCTATTCGTTGTGGAATCTCAGTATCACAAGTGCAGTTCTTTGAAATTGTTTGTGATTCCTTCGAGAGATGAAAGAGTGTAATTATGTACATAACAACCTGTTCAACTGGTAAAATGTGTTTGCAGTACGAAGTGTGTAAAGATGCAATAATTGTGAACTGACAAGTTTTGAGTATAAGTTGAACTGGACGGTGAGACAGGGTTAGACACAACCATTAGTCAGAGGCCTGAACCATACTAGTAAAAATGTTCAGGATCACCCATTTCTTTCATATTACTATCATTAATCTGTCATTGCATGAGAGGCGCTGGGGTTTTCTAGTGGTTAAATCGTTCGGTTGTCACCGAAGACCCAGGTTGGATTCCCCACATGGGTGCAATGTGTGAAGCCCATTTCTGGTGTCCCCCACATTGTGATTTTGCAGGGAATATTGGTAAAGCGGTGTAAAACCATACTCATTGTCATGGCATGACAGATTAACTATTGTAATATGAATGAATTACGTGTTCCTTAACCTTAATGTTACAATACAGTAACCATTAGTTTGAAATTAGCTGGTGACTAGATTGATTTATCTCATGGTGTCTACCCCAATATGGTGAAAGTTTCTATACAATGTTGTCAGGAGGTTAAAAAAGTAATTTTGGTAGTGATCTTGCAGCTCTTTAACTATATTAAACATGCATTCTTAAGAAATGAGTACTAGTAAGAAGCATCCTATCATTCCTATGCATGGATGACAAACTTTTGGCTATGCAGAATTGAAAGCCAGTTGGGTCATTTCTGTGAATCTGTTTTCAATCATTCAAGCCTACGAGGTGTATATTTGATGGAGATGTGACTTCACTCAAGCATCAATGAGATTGTTTATCAAAGGTATAGGTAGATGTTGACACTAGCCTGGTGGATTCCGAGTTTGTCCAGTGATGATTGGCCACAATCAGCACAACAGAAGAAAAGTAATGTCATTATTCTGTAGGCATTGAGCTGTGTTTCAAACCAGGTATGAAAGTCACATGGTCCTTGTTATGGCCCTAATGTATAAAGTTAACTGATTTGGGGTCTCCAGCTTTAAATGCAACGCAAAAGGACTTAGAGGATCAGATGACACCTCTATTTCTTACACACTTGGCAGTTCACTTGTGACTGATAAAATGACAAGAGTGAAGCTGCAAGTTTTTAAGGTATGTGAAAATTAGGGTGTTTCTCTGGTTAAGAGAGAACATGATTTGCTGTATTGGGCACCCCTGTACATCTGTGCACCACTTACCAGTAGTACAACACTGACATGGACGGTTTGACCTGTGGCTGTCACATTCTCACAGAAATCTCTCACTCGAAACTCTACTATACAATTGCCAAGCAATGCTTCGACAAAAGAAGTATATACTAATGTAAGCATGTAAATTCATTTTGCTCAATCATTAAACTAAATGAACCATTACCAGTGTTTGTGTTTTTTAGGCAACATGGGTGTCAACAATAGAGTGGATGCCTGGTGTTTATAGGCTGCCGTTCAGGAGTTATTGGGTCCATCTGGTGTGAGTCCCCAAGGGGAATGTGCTCTGTCACTCAGTCACTATCTGTATGTACCATAGCGGAAAATAAACATGCATTTTGTAATTGGTTGTGCAATGAATGATGCATATGAAATTGCCCTGTGGAAATGCTGGGGGGGGGGGCGCAGGGGCACGGGTGGCCCAGTCGTCTATTCGCTGTGCTCAGTGCGTCAATTGGGCATGCCAGAAAGCTATGATTGTTGGTTCGAATCCCGGTTCGCCCCCATTATGTTTCTAGGTTTGTCAGCACCATACCCGTGCTCATGGGTTTCACCAAAGTGGTAAACGTTTTAGACCTGCATCACTTCGGGCTTTCCTCCCACATTAAGCTGACACGCCGTGATACAACTGGAATACTGTCAAGCTTGGTGACTTGGTTGATTGTGTGTCATCGTACCCCGACAGCGTGGATTGTTCTCACAACATCAATCACTGGATTGTCTGGTCCAGACATGATTATTTGCATGACGCCGTCACATAGCTGGAATATTGCTGAATGCGGCTTTAAACAAAAAAAGCATATGCACATTTTGCCCCATTTTCATTCGAACATAGATTAATTAACAGCGACTGGCGAAGTTTATGTCTCCAAACACCAAAAATTGGCTTGTACCCATGGGGAATCAAACCCAGGACTTCAGTTTGAAAAGCACAGGTTTTAACCATGATCTTTCTTCACAGATTGAATGTCACATCGACATTATTTCAGCTATATATAGAGGAGAACAAATTTTAATATCATCAAGCATCATAGAAATACAGCAAAGATATATTAAAAAGCAAATTTGTCAAACATATTTTAGCATACACAGTGTAAGATGAAAGGACCTTAAAGATCACTGACCATCAATTGATGAGGTGAAGGAAGAAAACACCTGTATTTTCCCACGTTTGTTTTTGAGTCACTGAGTACAGACATTTGGCACCAACGGTTTCTAGTAATGTGTCCCTGTGGGAAAGCCAGATATGTTGATGGGATGGTGTGTGAATACATCATGTTGAGTGTACCAGAGGACTTCCGGCGGCTCTTCGATATCATCAATTTCAATTGTTCAGTTTCAAATTAGGTATATAAAGCCCGAAGTGATGCAGGTCTCAGACGTTTACCACTTCGGTGAAACCCACGAGCACGGGTATGGTGCTGACAAACCTAGAAACATAATCGGGGCGAACCGAGCTGGCACCACATACAACAGGACCGATCCGATGATCGTGCAAGAAACCACGACCGGTCAACGTTATATGGACCAAATGTTACGTCCAGTGGTAATCCCATTTACCCTCGAACTATATATCATTATTAACACAAACAATGTGGACATTTGGGTATTTTCCACAAAATAAACTATTCAGCCAACAAACTATTCTTTTGGGGCATATTTCTGATCAAAAGTGCTTCAGCACGTGCTTGCCCGGGCGGGGACCAAGGGTCGCTGCCACACGGGCGAGAAGCCCGTTTTAATGTCCATTACATGGCCTGAATAGTACCAAAAGTAAAATCTCATTCAATTTCTCGGTAGACATGTATTTATGTCATAGCGTGCTTTAGAAGGAGTTTACATAAAGTTACAGAAGCCTTTTAATTGACAAAGCAGTAACAACGTTTTGAGTTGAATCAGTTCGGTGTTGAGTGTGTAGGAGTTGTATTCCTATGAGGGTAGCATTTGTCAAATAGACCAAAATCGAAAGGGGTTCTGTCACCTTGACAGTGGTCCCCTGCATGTCGTTGGTACTTGTTACCCTGCCTGGCGCTCGGCACGAATGGGATAAAACAAGGACTGGTCAGCTCGGAGTATACTGTGTCTGAGTGAGGTATTCATGTTAAACTGCGGCGTGGTATCTGAGTGGGCAAGCACTATAACCCGCATTAGTCCGTACTAGTACAAGCAGCCAAACACACACACGCACGTCGCTATAAAAGTGGAGTAATCTTGAACGTGACGTCAAGCACATTTCACATCGCCCTTTCATTGTCCTTGTCTTGAAGCAACTGAGATGGGGAGGGGAGGGGGGTGGGGGTTTATTAGATATTTGCTGGTGAGACAAGCTTGTAAGCGGTTCCCCGTTTTATCAATCACATTCAAATCAGATCTTTGTTCACGCTAACTCTGATTGACCAATGAAGTGACAAGAAGCCGTGATTAGCCAATCAGCTAGCAGCATTCTCGAGCTATTCGGCACTAGTTTAAAACGGGCAACTTCCATTCCTTCGCCATGGAAAATTGTTTTAAGTTGACAGTCATGCTGCATCCGATATTGGCATGACAGTTGCCTGTACTGAGGCGGGGAAGCAAAAACAATCTTTTAATGTAATGGACAAAGGGTACAGACATAAAAAACCGTTCAATACCAATGTGACGTCACATTAATAGCTTGTATGACCACCCCCAACTACAAGACTTGCACAAACTCCGGCGCACAGAAAAAGTCAGTCGTCTGATGACGTCACATGGGATATTTCGCCATTCTTCTTGGAGGGCCTGGATCAGTTCTTGTCGGTTGGCTGGAGGATGTGGTTGCTGTCGAACAGGACGATCCAGACATAGTGTTCTATGGGGGACATGTCTTGAGAGAGTGCAGGCCATGGCAACACGTTGACGTTGTCGGTTGCAAGGAGGTTCTGTACGATTCGGACTTTATGGGGTCTGGCGCTGTCATGCTGATAAAGGACAACACGTGGCAGCTGTTGTAGAAATGGTAGGACAATCGGACGAAGACGTTAACGATCACCAGCGGTGTTTCTCCTGCCCACAAATTCCTCCACACATCATAACATCCCCTTCACCAAACTGCACGACCTCCTGAACGCAACACCTCTTTGGCGGTAAACACGCTGTCTTTCATCAGCTCCGAACAGACAGAACCGGCTTTCATCAGCGAAGACGACCCTCTGCCAGTCCCATGTCAATCTCATCTCTGACGACGATGTTGCGCTGTCAATAACTGTCCTCTGTAAGGTCTGTAAGCCCTAATTCCGTGAACTCGCATGGCAGATTAACCATATGCCTACGGCATTCATCGCTAATGACGTCAATGTCAGGAATCGATTCTGGAGATGCAAAATACGCAAGTACCGGTCTTCATTGGGCACAGTTACCCTGTATCTGCCTGATGTCTGCGGGAGCAACCAAATGTTCTAGCAATGGGTGGCCCCCATTTCTATCATACTCAGGGCCCATTCGCGTTGTACGGGTGTCAGTCATGGCATTTCTGTGGTGTGTTTTTTTATCAGTGTGTGTCTGACATGCCGTCAGTATCATTTAAAAATCCTTATTGCACGTGTAGTTACGGCTGCCCATTTTTTGCAATTTCATTTTTAAAGTTGGTTGGTTGGTTGGTTGTTTAACGCCGCAATATTCCAGCTATATGACAGGGGTCTGTAAATAATCGAGTCTGGACCAGACAATCCAGTGATTGATATCATGAGCATCGATCCACGCACTTAGGATACGATGACATGCATCAATCAAGTCAGCGAGCCTGACCACCCGATCCCGTTAGTCACCTTTTACGACAAGCATAGTCGCCTTTTACGGCAATCATGGGTTGCTGAAGACCTATTCTACCCCGGAATCTTCACGGGTCCATTTTTAAAGTAGTAAAGTTTCTTTTGGCCGTCAGTTTATAAGCGAGTCTGTGAGTGAGGTAAAAGTTTAGATAGCACCAGCAGTAACCGAGTCACATAGCCAAGAGAAAAAGAAATTCGTTCATACCAAGTAATACAAGCACATTTTTATTTTTTGTTTAACGCCGCACTCAGCAATATTCCAGCCTTATGAGGGCGGTCTGTAAACGAATCTGGACCAGGCGGTCCGGTGATTGACATCATGAGCATCCATCTAGACAGTTGGGATACGATGACATGCATCAACTAAGTAAGCGAGCCTGTTATTCGCAACTTACGACAAAAATAGGTTGCCGAAGACCTACCCTAAACGGGAACTTCCCGCACCCTATGCACACTCAAACAGTAGGTCAATATCACAGATTCAGTATAAAACGAACTGGCTAGATATAAGTAAAACATATATACACATGTTGACTACAATACGCCACAAATCGATGGTGGTCCCTTAGTGACATCTACATTTACCCTAAGAAGCACCCGAAAATGCTTCACATGCTTTGACACGCTGACTGAAAAAGATATTGTCTTAAACATAAACCGTCGGTCTGTAAATAATCCGGTTATTGGTATTATGAACGCTGATGACACGTTGGTTGGTTGGTTGGTTTGGTTTGTTGTTTTACGCCGCACTCCGCAATATTCCAGCTATATGACGGCGGTCTGTAAATCCAGTGATTAATATCATGAGCATCAATCCACGCAATTGGGATCGATGACATGCATCAACCAAGTCAGCGAGCCTGACCACCCGATCCTGTTAGTCGCCTTTTACGACAAGCATAGTCGCCTTTTACGGCAAGCATGTGTTGCTGAAGACCTATTCTGCCCCGGATCTTCACGGGTCTGATGACACGTCATCAGCCAAGTCACCGAGCCTGACCACCCAAGACATTAAGTCGCCTCTTACGACCATCACTGGACCAAGGGTTATCATGTGGTCAGTCGCCATGGTTGTGTTAGACATTGTACAGCCAATGGTTTGTCTGGTCAGGGTTATTATGGTTATTTGCAAGCTGTAATTGTGCTGAAATATACTCACTGCCAAAAGAAACTCGAACCATGGAAACATAGAGAGAAGTGTGTACGTTAAAGAAGAGATGTTTCCAATGTGTACCCCTTAATGACAGACCTAACAATCAGTCAAGTGTTACCACTGTGTCTTTATTCTTACCATGATATGCTGATAGTGATCTCCAAGTTTTACACGCTAACCCTGCACGAGACAAATGGTTCATCCTCGAGAAGGATGTAATGCGTTCATGAGCGTCGGTTCACACAACATACCAGTATGTTCTTTTGTGCACCGAACCAATCTAATATCTCTTGTATATCAGTAATTCTTCATGTATTAACCAACATGTATGTATTCGCGTTTCTTTTGTCGGTGAGGGGGCACGGGTGGCCCAGTCGTCTAAGGCGCCGCGATTCGCTGTGCAGAGTTGCGTCCCTTGGGCACGCCAGAAACCTATGATTGTGGGTTCGAATCCCGGTTCGCCCCGATAATGTTTCTAGGTTTGTCAGCACCATACCCGTGCTCGTGGGTTTCACCAAAGTGGTTAACGTCTGAGACCTGCATCACTTCGGGCTTTCCTCCCACATTAAGATGACACGCCGCGATATAACTGGAATACTGTTAAAAGCGGCGTTAAACCCAACTCACTCACTCATCATAAAACTATCCCTATCAAAAATTGTGCAGCGCATTCACTCACTCACTCACTCACTCTTTTGTCGGTGAGTATAATGCTGAATGATGAGTGTATTTCTGCTTTTGTTGGAGCGTGAAGGAATGTAATAAAGAAACACAAAGACTACAAATAAAACACTATATTTATTCCGAGTATATTGTATTGATACTGGTACAAACATACAAAATGGTACATACATTTTAGAAATATTCCAACCATATGACGGAGGCCTGGGTATAATTGAGTCTGAACCCGACAACGCAGTGATTGATATTGTGAACAAAGATCAACGCCGTCCGGGTAGGATGACAAGTCAGCAATCATGACCAACCGATCCACTTAATGGCCTCTTTCGACCAGCATAGGTTGCTGGGGACCTTTTCTCATCCGGATTAGAAACCTAGAGTGATTTACATCTATTGTCGTTACAAACATTGTAATAACTTTGTTTCGTTACTGGTAACAAACCTCTATCTCTAACATCATGACTTGTCTTGAATTAACGTTTGTTTAAATATTCACTTGTCATATCATGAGTGAGTGAGTGAGTATGGTTTTACGCCGCTTTTAGCAATATTCCAGCAATATCACGGCGGGGGACACCAGAAATGGGCTTCACACATTGTACCCATGTCGGGAATTGAACTCGGGTCTTCGGCGTGAACGCTTAAACCACTGGGCTACCCGACCGCCCCTGTTCTCGATTAAGGATTCGAACTAGAATACCGCATAGCGTGTCGTTACCACAGATGCCACAAAGAGATTTTTTGTTCTTGTGAAGTTGTCAAACTGAACTGTACAACTGGTGATTACACAAAAAAATATTTATTGTCTTACGTGGATTCATGAAAGGAGCAAGGGGCGGTTGGGTAGCCTAATGGTTAAAGCGTTTTCTCGTCACATCAAAGACCCGGGTTCGATTCCCGAAAAGGGTACTATGTGTGAAGCCCATGCCTGGTGTCCCCCGGGTGATATTGCTGGTATATTGCTAAAAGAGGCGTAAACTCAAACTCACTCACTCACGAAAGGAACACCTGCGTCTTCGTTCCTGTCACGAGAAACACCTGTTCCACGTGCGAAATTGACTAAGCCCTCGTCGAGCCCACCACTGAATTGGGACCACACCAATATTTGTTTTTGCTCGACATATTTTCTCAATTTATTCTGACATACTTGTCCGTAATTTGTCGGTATCTAAATTTACAAATTGGAACAGGTGATGCTTGACCGAGAGCGCGAAGAGCCGGAGGCTCTTCATTGCCGTTACACAAACACCGATGAGTCGTGTTTTATCCTACACATCCGCACGGGCCAATTGTGAGAAGAAAGTGTACACACTCAACACAACTTTTACACTTTGCCGGATGCTGAAGTTGGCAGTGTAACAGTGGGATGGGTTCGGTGATGTAGCGTTATTTGTTTTTAGCCTATGGCCTTCTGCAACACTATGACCCTTCTCGACTGCCTGACCACTTGGTTTTAATTCCAGCCCTCCTTACAAAGAGCAACCCTGAACCCCGTCTTGATTTTAAAAAAGTGAGGTAATTGTATAATTTGGTCACGAGCCTTCCAAATATTTATTATGTATTTTCCGACGCTCCTAAGTGATCAAGACTTAGGTGTCTCGTGATTCTCTCCAATTTCGTTGAGTGCAACGACGTCATCCAGTTGGAATATTGCTGCGCGTGGCGTTAAACAGCACAAAACATATATGCAAGCGTTATGTAAATATTCACTAAAGAGAAATGGAAACGCATTAATACGCCCGAAAACAAGGAGATCATTGCACTTGTACAGCGACGTGCATGCACGTGTATGTGTGTGTGTGTGGCTGCTTGTACTAGTCCGGAATGATGCCGATTTATAGTGCCAGCACACTGAGATACCATGCCGCAGTTTAACATGAATACCCCACTCAGACACAGTATACTGACTCCAAGCCGACCAGTCCTTGTTTTAGCCCCTTAATGCCGGGCGCCAGACAGGGTAACAACAAGTACAATCTTTTAACGTCTTTTGGTATGACGCGGCTGTGGATCGAACCCCGGACCTTCCGCTCTCTGGGCGGACGCTCTACCATTAGACCACGGATGCGGTCCGAAAACAAGGAACTAAGTCTGTGGGTAAAAGGATCGTAAAAGGCTATCTTAAGTTTGTTGTATTAAGTATATAGACATCGCAAAAACATTATTGTGAAATATGTTTTTAATCTACCAAACCCTCTAAGCGTCGTTTCGCCAAAAGAGATATAATGAGTCAACGTGTGTTTTAACGCCGCTTTGAACAGTAATTCACTTTAATCACGGTGTGTCAGCTTGATGTGGGAGGAAAGCCTGAAGTGATACCGAAAATCCTAGACGTTTGGTACTTAACTGTAACCCGCGACAACGGGTATGGTGTTGATAACCATATGAACACAACGGTTGAATCGGGATTCGAACACACGGTCATGGGTTACTAGCACACATAAGGGACGCAACTCTGACCGCCGAATTACGGCGCTTTAGACACGATGTCACTTTAAGGTGAGTGAGTGAGTTATTATTTAAAGTCACATCGGCGATATTTCAGCCATATCGTGACTTGAACAAGTTATAGCATATAGTCACTTTAAGGAGGTATATTTGAAACAGTATGCATGAACTATGAATTGTTACGTAAAAGTATCTAGATCGGAAGTAAATGCGGAATTATGTTGATAACAAAGGTTTAGCTATATATTTAGGCTGATTATGTTTTACTACAACAAAGTCATACATTTACTTTAAGAACACTGCCACCATACACGCCAGGAGCGTGGCAAGTGGCAAAGACAACAGCGGCGCCTCACATGTAGTCGGGCTGGGTGGAGGTGTTGGAGGAGATGGGTTGAACTGGGGACATTTATTGTCCATCATACATTCCCACAACTTCATCCCTGTGTGTTTACCAGAACGGGAAGCGCCTTCGAGAAAACCATCCATCACGTCGTCGTAAGCCTCTCCAGCAAAGTAGACTCTTCCAACACGTGACTTCAGAGCCTCCATGAACCTTGGGTTGCCATCGTCTCCAACCTGTCGGGAAGTGAAGCTTCCCAGAGTATAACGACTTCCCGTCCAACTCGTAGGCCAGATCGCTACTGGCTCTGGTGTTGACTGTCCATACATGCCCTTGAGAACTGCCGTCACCTCGGCTTTCACTGTATCACTATACGCTTTGTCCACCCTCCGTGCTTCCTCTCCTGTGACGACAAACAGGAGCATGTTCGTGCCGGAGGGGAAGAAGCCCTCGGCCTCCAGGTTGATGATGATCGGGTAGTATCCTCTTCGTGGGTGGGCGTGGAGGATGTATTGCTCAGACCCCCAAAAGTTGGTCACTGTGCTGGCAAATTTAACATAGATCTGAGTGTACGCGTCCATGCTTGTTTTGTAGATGGTGTCTAACTTCCATGCGGGTAGAGGCGGGTTAAACATGTCGTTATTACTCTTGAGGACGCCCATGCTGAAGGTGACTACGGCATACTTGCCCATGAAGGTTTTGCCACTCGTGGTAGACACAGACACGGAGGTGTCGGTGTGGTTGATGCTGTCCACAAATTCGCCCAACTTTATTTGTGGTCCTGACGTGTTCATGAAAGAGCTGGCAAATCGTTCCATCACGTTCTGTAGTCCTCGCTGATCCGTTGACAGGAACATTTTGTCCTGGGTGTCGGAGACGGACTGAAATCCTCGAGTTGACATGAGGGCAGGCACCTTGCTAAATTCGAAATCGTAATCATATATCTCTATAACGTCTTCCAAAGGGGTTCTAGGAAACCACTGCCCGTTCTCTAAAGCAACTCTCATAGACATGTCGGCTATCTTGCCCTCTTTTATTTCACGGTAGAGATTCTTCACAACTTTCTGAGCGTTTTGTAATTTAGTCCAAGCTGCCTCCGCCTGCGTGTCCAGCGCCTGCCCTGTATGCGACTTCACGACGACGCTTTCGTAGTCAACGTACTTGCCTGCGATGTTGTAGTTGCTGACGGTGTTGTTAATGGATGCTTCGGGGCCATGTAAGCCCATGGATCCAAGCTCCACCATTGTCCCGCCAAACATGACGCTCTTAGCTCTCCCGCCAATCCGCGAATCGCCCTCTATGATGATAAAGGATATGTTGTGTTTGGCTAGAACACTCGCTGCGGACAATCCAGCATATCCGGCGCCGAGAATCAGAACATCTGAAACATAATACACACCATAAATTTTCAAAAAGATTTTATATTTCATACCATCACCCGACCAATCGTTGTCTAGTCCTGCATGGCATATGTTTGTATCATCGTTAATATTGTCGACACCAGGGTGTATTTTGTGGATATTTTCTACGCTTTCGCCTTGTGAAGTGTACCCTCTAGTGAAGCTAACTTTTTAGAACTATCATCTTAAACGATGGGTTTATGATGCTAATATGTAGGAACGAACCCAGCAAATGGGTTTTTAATTTTTATTTTTAAAACTGACATAAAAATCCTTGCATATTTCAACATGACAAAGGGGGCACGGGTGGCCCAGTCGTCTATGGCGCCGGGATTCGCTGTGCAGAGTTGCGTCCCTTGGGCACGCCAGAAACCTATGATTGTGGGTTCGAACCCCGGTTCGCCCCGATTATGTTTCTAGGTTTGTCAGCACCATACCCGTGCTCGTGGGTTTCACCGAAGTGGTAAACGTCCGAGACCTGCATCACTCCGGGCTTTCCTCCCACATTAAGCTGACACGCTGTGATATAACTGGAATACTGTTAAAAGCGGCGTTAAACCCAACTCACTCACTCACTCACTCACTCACTCAACATGACAAACATCTGAATCATCATGCATTTGCACAATAATTCCTCTCTCAGTTTAAGTTTAGGATTTGTTTTAAAACATATTTGGATTAGGTCGACCAAAGTCTTGCCTAACATAATGCGGTCAATCAATTATAAACTGACGTCCAAAAGAAACTTATAAATTTCAGACAAAGTATAATTTTTATTTCGATGAAGTCTATCTAAAACACATAACCTAAATACAACAATAGTGTATGCAGAAAATGTTAATCTTCTGTTACATGTTTGCGAGATAACACGCGAAAAAGTTAAAAACACGTGCACCACGGACAACTGCAAATGCACGTGCGAGTAAGGATATAAAACGATTGCAACGGCAAGTCATACATCCACAGTGATAAAAAAAAACACAAAAGAAATGCCACGACTCACAGTCGAACATAGTGAACGAGCCTTGGGTATGGTACAGATGGGAGCCACCCACGCCCATATTGCACGGACCTTCGGTTGCTCCCGCGTTGCTGTTACCAACTTGATGCAACGTTACAGACAGACAGGGCGGACCGCTGACAGGCCATGAACAGGCAGACCCAGGGTAACCACGCCCCATGATGACCGGTACTTGCGTACTTTGCATCTTCGAAATCGCTTCCTGACAGTGACGTCATCGGCGACAAATGCATAGGTCACAGGGTTAGTCGACAGACAGTTGCCAGGAGACTCAGAGCTCATGGAATCAGGGCTTTTAGACCATACAGAGGACAGCCATTGACAGCGCAACATCGTCGTCTGCGATTGTAATGGGCCCGGACTGTACGACGTTGGCAACGACGTGACTGGCAGAGGGTTGTCTTCACTGACGAAAGTCGATTCTGTACGTTTAGGGCTGATGGAAGACAACGTGTTTACCGCCGAAGGGGTGAACGAACGGCGGCGTCTTGCGTGCAGGAGGTCGTACCATATGGTGGAGGAAGCGTCATGGTGTGGGCAGGAGAGGACACCGCTGGTCATCGTTGACGGAAACTTGACAGTTCAGCGTTACATGAATAACATTCTTCGTCCAGTTGTCCTACCATTTCTCCAACAGCAGCCACGTTGTGTCATTTATCAGCATGACAACGCTAGAGCCCATACAGCCAGAACTTCCTCGCAGCCAACAACGTCAACGTCCTGCCGTGGCCTGCACGCTCACCCGACATGTCCCTCATAGAACACCTCTGGGACTTGATGGATCGTCGTGTTCGACAACGACCACACTCTCCAGCCAACCGGCAAGAACTAATCTTGGCCCTCCAAGAAGAATGGCGTCAAATCCCACGTGACCTCATCAGACAACTGACTTTTTCTGTGCGTCGAAGAGTTTTTGCGTGTATTGAGGCATTTGGGGGTCACACACGCTACTAATGACTTGTTATTGAACGTGTGCGATTGTTTATGTACTCTGCTTATTGTCCATGATTCTGAAAGCTCGAGTTTTGTACCACACCCAACTTTGGGGGGCTCTGACGTCGTTCTCGGTCGCGGTATGATTGTCATTTTCAGTGTTGATTATGTTGATATATTGATCTTCTCAATACACTTACTTCATGCATGTATGTTTTGTTGTTTTTGAGCAAGAGTGATTTCAAACTCTGGTAAAGTTTCTTTTGGACGTCAGTTTATGTGAATCCCCTATAGTGAGTGAGTGAGTAAGTGAGTGAGTTGGGTTTAACACCGCTTTTAACAGTATTACAGTTATCTGGAGTGACATGTGGATCGAAACAACATTTATGAGATATGGTCATGGGCATGGGGGAAGAATGGGAGTTACCCTGAGGCCTGACACGCTAAAGACATGGGCATTAAGTCTCCACATTTGCACACAATTAGAGGAAGATGTGTTAAAGATCAGTCAACGCAATGTGGACAGGATAAACACAAAGCAGAAAACAAATCAAGAATAGACTCGGATGCCAAGGACAGGGAGAACATTCGGCAGCAGCTTCAACTTTTCATTGATCCAATGAAGCCAGAAACTCATCCTGAAGATCTTGTGAACATCGTTTCCAGCAGGGTTTCTTCGTCTGCAGTTAACGTTCACAATGCAGTATCTATTGGAATAAAGCAGATGGAAAGCTTTGAAAGTGGGTGGCCAAACAGCTTTCGTGAAACAATTCCAACAAGCATGAAATACTCACATCCCCCGCTAATATGACATGTCAGGTGTGTGCAATGCATTAGCTCCTGTGAACTATGTTCACTGGGCCTTTTCGTAAAGAAATATAGTACGTTTTTCAAGATCTGCTCCAGAAACAAGGACTACCGCCATTTTTAGTCTAAATCAAAGTCGTTGCCATGGAAACTCGAAAAAATAACTTTAAAAAAAATCCCAAACTATCAAAAGGCACCAGTTCACCACTAGACCTATCAATGTGCAAAATATGGTGAAGAAAAATGGTACGGTCTTCAAGATCTGTTCCGGAAACAAGGACTACCGCCATTTTCAGTCAAAATCAAAGTCGTTGCAATGGAAACTCGAAAAATGATTTTTTTTTTAAATCCCAAACTATCAAAAGGCACCAGTTGACATCTAGACCTATCTATGTGCCAAGTATGGTGAAGAAATATGGTACGGTTTTCAAGATCTGCTCCGGAAACGAAATGTGACGGACGGAAGGACGGCCGGAAGGCACCCATTCCTATATCTCCCATCCACTTCGTGGCGGGGGATAAAAAATATAGTTACAATGGATACAGCAAAGAAGCATATCAATATTGGATCAATTAAACTTTTCGACACAAGTTTGATCTACTCTCCTGTTATTGGTCTGCAGGCCAGCTCTCGCGATGTTGACATTAAGCATGTATTTTCTCATGGATTGGCACCAGTTCCTACTTCCATGTTTAGCGACGCTGGAGAAATGAGAGTTTGCAAGGCAAAGTCCACGATGACACGTATTTTACAAGTACCAGTATCTTCTCGTCAAACACATAATCAGACAACAGCCTTGATTATTGATGGATCATCATTGCTGTGGGTCATTCGCTGGCCAGAATGGGGAACAGTCCTAGATTATTTGCTAGGTTTCAAAGCTAACATCATATCAAAATTGAAAGTTGGAGATGTGTTCTTGGTATTTCATCGCTACAAGGAGTACAGCACTAAGGATGTCACAAGGCAGGGAAGAACAACAAATGCCAGCAGTAGAGTTCATCACATGAAGGTGTCAACAATCTTACCTCCCCAGAAGGTTGTCCTCACAGTCAAAGTAAACAAACATGCGTTGATAAACTTGATTTCCCATGACCTCCTTAATGATGATGATCTGCTTCATGTTCACACCAAAGAACACAAACTTGTCATTACAGGGGTGAATAATGTCCCACATGAAGTGTTCAATGGCATCATATCCAGCAGACACGGGGCGGTCGGGTAGCCTAGTGGTTAAAGCGTTCGCCCGTCGCGCCATAGACCCGGGTTCGAATCCCGACATGGGTACAATGTGTGAAGCCCATTTCTGGTGTCCCCCGCCGTGATATTGCTGGAATATTGCTAAAAGCGGCGTAAAACCATACTCACTCACTCACTCACTCCAGCAGACATGACATTGTCACAACGCAATGAGAAGCTGACAACATAATTGTCCAACAAGCCATTAAAGTAGCATCAGATTGAATCCATCCAGCGACTGTTCTGTCAGATGATACCGACGTATTCCTCCTGCTGTTACATTTCTACTACTTACAGAATATGAAGGTACAGGTATTCATGGAGTCACCTGTTCAGGAGCGCACTATCATTGACATTGGAGCTTCTGTTTCCAAAAACGAACCTATTGTTCTAGACCTACTGGCAGCACTTGCATTGAGTGGTTGTGATACAACAGCATCATGTTTTGGGGTTGGTAAAGGAAAAGTGGTCAAGGCATTAAAGGACGGTCACTCTGTCTCACTGCTTGTAGATCCTACAGCAGATTTACCCAAAATCACTTTACAAGCAACTCAGTTCATTGCAATCTGCTATGGCAAACCATACTTCACATCTATTACAGAAGCTCGCTTACAAGTTTGGGCAACCGAAACTGGAAGAGGCTGTTTCAAATTCCCAAGCTCTCAGCTTTACCGCCAACAGATGAAGCCTTTTTTGAAAATGTGAAGCGGGCACATCTCCAAACCAGTGTGTGGAAGGCTGCGTTACAGCCAGACCAACCTGCGATTGATCTAACCCAGCTTGGTTTCCACAAAGACATTACATAAAAGTGCCTTCTTCCAGTTACTGTACCTGAAAGCGTTACACTAGCACCACAATATATTTTGAAACTTGTGAAGTGCACTTGTGGCAGTGATTCACCGTGTAGGACAAATCGATGTGGTTGCTGTCACGCCCAGTTACCTCGCACAGTATTCTGCTCCTGTAGCTCCAGTGTCTGC